TACGAGAGGCAGTAGTGTGCCTTATACATTCAAATATTAGTCAATTAACTCACGTTAAATCGTTCGCGCGCGCGCGCGTTACCACGTCGCTGTACTACACGCTGGGAGGCACTCTAATAAACAACGCGCGCGCGCGCCCATAGTCGGCTCTATACATAGGTATATAAATTATTGAGAACAAAAAGCACACACACACATATGATATTGTTTGCTCACGGAATTCAATCTCGCTGGATTTGGAGCGCCGGAGAGCTGCTGACCCGTCGGAGCTTCATACACAGCAAACCATCGCTCCCCCGTCCAGCAGTGTAGTCTGCAGGTCTGTGTACGAGTGTGTGTGTGTACACACGGTGAGCTTGCAAGCAAAACAAGCTTATTCATAATCCATCGAGTGCATATGGTGCCACTCACTGGCCAAAAGCACGTACATAACAAATCCCCGCGCATTTCGCATCTGATCCTGACGCTCGAGCTCGCTTGTAATGCAAAATTGACAAGACCTTGCGCGCAACCCTGGCCGCCCTTGTATATCTATACACACAACGGCTACACGTCGCTCGACTCGTTAAAGATCCAGAAACAGGCAGCCACTGCTACTGCTGCTGCTCGATGTAACCTACTGTGCATGTATATTGTAAATTTCTTACGCTTAACACTTGCCCAGAGCGAATAAGTTTAATGAAAAATAATCTCCGTCTAGCTCTTCGCAAGGAGAGACATATTAAAGTAGCATACTACTGCTTGTTCATTTTGGAGCGAAAAAAAAATGAACACAAATGAAATGTGTCGTTCCCGCGATGTAAGTAAGTACCATAACAAATCTCTCTCTCTCTCTGTTTTTCTTTTAAGCATTTTCTTTATGTAAAAAAGTTTTCACCTCGTATAAGCTTTACGAGGAAATTATTTTTTAAGTAAGTGTGATTTTCTTTTGAGAGCGCAAAAGTTTTTTCGTTTTGAAATTAAAAAACGGAAGTTTCGAAATGAGAAGTCATTGCTCTTGTGGATGGTAATAAGAATTTTTCCCCTGCTCGAGGCAAGTAGATTTGATTCTAACGCAATCTCACTCTTGATTCTGTGTGAAGCGGAACATTTTCTATGATCTCGTTGTGGGATTTCGTTGGTTTGCGCGCGCAAAAAGTGAACGAGCATGCAAGTCTTGAGATAAAAAAACTACCTCTTAACTATGATCGTGGATTGTGCTATTATTTGAAGAATATTTAATTAATTAAAGCGTTTTCATTATTTTGAAACTACGGTTTAATTTTTTATATCGGGTAGTGTATATATAAGTGTCGATAAAAGAGCAAAAGAAAAATTGAAAAAGAAACCAATTGAGACCTCGATTGGATTGGAATGCTCCTACATCTTAGTATGATTACTACAACGTGAATGACTTTGCTTTAGAAATCAAAATATAAAGGTATTAGCAGAATTTTTCTTTATATTTACCGAATGAAAGAAGAATAAGCCATTAAAAAATATTAAATTTGATGCCAATTTAATGTGAGATCAGACATTAAATTTATATTAACAAATACTGATTTTTATTTGCGACAGTTTCACATAAAATTTTTATTGAAAATTAATGTTTTTGTATTTATTGATTTATTTATCAAATTAATTTTAACTGTCACCGCTAGATGGCGAATAGTTTTATCTTTAAATCTGCAAATGACAAAGTAAAAATCATTCTATAGAAGTAAAAATGAAATAATGAAATTTGTTTGCAAATTTTTGTGTTTTCTCCTGTGAATTAAATAATTAGTTTAGGCAAAATACAATTTAAAACACAAACTTTGTGCATCAATCGACAAGACGAACTTGTCAGTCGCCATTTATTTTAGTAACGTTTTTCCTAGATTTTTCTAGACCTCCTCAGGATATAACCCAAACATTTTTTTTATATCTCACTCACCTGGTAACGAAAAACATTGACTAGGTTAAGAATACGGTTGTGATGTATTTTTAGTAGAAATGTACAACATTAAATAAAACAACTTGAAAATTAATGTAAGTGTATAGAATTTAATTCAACGTAATATGATTATTTAAATCACATTAATTTTAATGCTTTTACGGGAATATGAAGTGATCTACATGAAGAAAAATCGTTCTCTACTGTAAAATAAATATTAATGTAAATACTCGAATTTTTCTTGAATTCTCCTCAGTACATAAAACTCATTACTTATGATGCACACGACGCGATAAAGTATCTCGAATGAAATTTGAATTCTGCGAGTTTTATAATGCGCACGCAGGCCGTTTCAGGGAAAGGGTTGGATAGTGGTAGTACGAGTCCGAATATGGCGAGCGAGAGAAAAAGAGCTAGTTGCAGTATTGCAATGACCCACCTCCTCCTTCCCCCCAGTTTCCCCCTTTTTTCTCTCCCCCCGAAAACATTTTAACCGGTTTACACACGGTGGATTGAGCCGTTGCCAAAAAATATCGAAAATCTTTTGGCGTTCAACCAGAGAGCACTGTATAATTCTCTTCTTCTCTCTCTTCTTCTCCCTTCCCCTCTATATTCTTCTTTTTGTCTCTCCCACTCTCTTAATACTCTTATGTGTGCTTGCGTTTCTACTTCTGCGTGCTACGACTACTTTCTCTTAGCCTCGAACCCCTTCGCGCTTATATACGTGCGCGCGAGATGCTCCAGACCGACGTTTAAGCACGCAAATATAATATACCTATATATCGCACATATGCTGACTCTCGTTCTATCTCTCTTTTGCTGTTTTGCGTACACATAAAAAAAAAGAAGACGAAAGAGTAACGCTCGCTGCGTTTTACGAGATTCGATATAATACGAAGAGGAGATATTTCAAGGGAGAAGAAAATGTCACAAAGCCGAGTAGCAAAGCCCCGCTATTTAAATTTATGGGTCCGCGCGTCGCGGACGCTTGTCTTTCCCCACCCGAAAAACTAACCATCTCATGGTCCTCTCTTGTATTTACATAAAAGCGCGGGTGAGAGAGGAGAGGGAGGAAGGAGAGAAAAACATAGAAAGGCAAACTCCGGCGCGGCATATGACCTGCAGCAGGAGCAGCGCGCGAGAGTCTATGCTCTCCGGCATGCAGATAAAAAAAGTTACCGTGCGTCTGAGCGTAGCGCGCACTCGTACTACTACTAGCTCGAATAGCCGCGCGCGCGCGGTATCACAACCGGTTTTTACAGTTGAAATTCTGCCTGCTATATACGCTTCTCGCAGGCCTTTTTGTAGCCAGCTCCAACAGCTTCCCCACTCCTACACGGCTCTGGATACTTAGTAAGTTTGATCTGTCTTTATATCTCTTGGACTCGAGAGAGCGGGGCGCGCACGCGATGTTCGCCCCACCCCCGCTTTTTTCATCATTTTTATTGCTCGCTCGCTCGGCGTGGTGGTAAAGTTTTTTTGCGCAACTACCAACGTGAACTAAGTATGATCGTACCGAATACGCGCGTATCCCAAGCTGTCGATCGATCGGAACACGCCTCCCGAAATTTGCACGTCCGCGTGCTCGAGTATACGTTCGGGCTTCTCCCTTGTATACTCTTCTTGCCTGGGCGCAGTTGCAGGTACATTTTTTGCGCGACCGTGTGAAAAATTTTACTGCCGTTGGAGGTTTTTTCATGACTTTTATTCCCACCATTTGGTACGTATTGTTACTCGATGCTTACCAGAAATAGAATGAGAGAATAAGAAAGTGGGTGCGGGAAAAAGGAGACGCCTCTATTGCAGTGGCTTTTTAGTGACGATTTCCGTTTCTCAAACTGGAATGATCGCACACTCGCTGCTTGCCCTGACATTTCCACATTTTCTCGACGAAAATACGCAGCCTGCAAGTATCCAACGCTCGCGCAATATCGAACCATATGCAGCATATTTTTTGCTTCATACGTATGTACGTAGAAGCACGAGCAGAAAGATCTCTTGATTTTCGGAAAATTAAACGAACGCAACGTTTCTATATGAAAAGTTTGATACTACTACTCTGTTTAGCAACTACATACACAGACGAGCAGCAAGCGACTACCATATATAAACGCGAAAACGAATCAACGAGAGCTCGCTCCCGAGAATTGCGACGCGAACACGTAAAGGGGTAGTAGAGAAAGTAAGGGTAGCAAAAAAGTATAACGTGTTTGTGAGAGCTGCTCTTCTGCTCGAATTCCATCAGCTAGTGTATATGGCTTTGCTCGAGGCTCTCGTCGTCGTCGTCGTCGCCGACGAGTTTCGCGCGCGCTCGCACGAATTAGGTCAAGTAGCGTTTTGCGGTGTGTCCGAAGACTCGTCGAGCTGTATGTACGCGAGAAAGAGAGAGACAGGGAAGCACTCGGCTTGTAACGCGCCAACGAGCGTCAGCCACGAGCGCCAGCTATATACACGAGCGTGATCCATTGAATTTTCTCCTTGTCTACGCGATCTCGTCGAGCAACGGAGCAATGCAACGCGCTCACACTTGCTCTGACTCTGTGTGTGTTTCTCTTTTTCGATTATCTCACCCTTCTTTTTTCTTTCTTTCTTTTTTTCCCTCTTGCTTTCGTTTCGTCGACACCGAGCTTTGATAGAAGTTCGGCTCAACTGCACACAGAGAGCAGTCTCGAGTGGTCGTGTATGTGTGTGTGTGTGTTTTTTTTTTTTTTTTGGACGTGGGCAGAGTGAACTCTGCAGCCAGTGGCCCTTCGTGTGTGTGTGTGTGTGTGTGTGTGTTTTTTTTTTTTTTTTTTTTTTTTTTTTTTTTTTTTTTTTTTTTTTTTTTTTTTGGATGTATAACGGTGATTTATTTAGAAGAAAGAGAAAAAGGAGTTTACATTAAGTAGTAATGTAGCAGAAGAAAGAAAATAACAGATTAGTTTACATAGAGTATGTAGGTACATCCACGTCTATTTTTCCCTTTGTTCCATCCCCGCGGAAACCGCCGTTAGGCATTACTTCACGGGGATGGAGGGGTTGGCGTTTTGCGCTTCTTGGGGGCTTGGATGCGGTGGCGTCTTCTTCCAGCCGCATCGTCCGGTCATCACCTTCTGTCCATTCCTTCGTCTCTCAGTCTTATTACGACTGAGCAGGCGAAGGAAGCAACCGCGAGCCAGTTCGGCTCGCTCGCGAGCATGAGCCTGGTGGTGTTCTCCGGCGTCATGACCTCGTGGAGCAGGGAGTGTAGACTCTCTCTTTCCTCGCTGAACCTCGGGCATTGGTAAAACACATGCTCCGCGTTCTCGATGGATGAGGGGCAGACCGGGCATTGCGCGCTTTGATTGTGGTCGTAGCGTCGGCTATGGTGTTTGAAGAAGCCGTGCCCGGTCAAGAGCTGCGTGAGGTGGTAGTTCAGCTCTCCGTGCCTCCTCTCGATCCACACCCTGATGTTTGGGATCAGTCGATGCGTCCATCGGGCCTTCGTCGACCGGTCCCATGCTTCCTGCCACTTGCTTAGCGTTGCCAGGCGTTCCTCGTCCCCTGCGTTCTCTCGGCGTCGGCCGTAGAGTCGCGCTCGCTCGTCCGCAAGGAGGGCCAGCGGTGGTATGCCGGCAAGGACATATGTGGCCTCGTAGGAGACATGCGGCCGGCCTCCGATCACACGCAGGCAGGCTCGTCGGTGGGCTGACTCCGCCTGGCGTAAGTAGGCTCGCTTTTGCGCTGCTGTGCTCCAGATGGGGGCTCCATACAGGAGTATGGAGTCGACGACGTGGGCATACAGCTTGCGTCGGCTGNTGTGTGTGTGTGTGTGTGTGTGTGTGTGTGTGTGCAGTGTGTGTGTGTGTGTGTGTGTGATGTCGACCACCTACTGATTCGTACAAACGTTATCGCTACTTTTCGGGGTCTAAAAGTTTAAATAGCTTCGGATTGTTCGAAGCAATTTGTTTCAAAAATACCATACGCCATTTGATTTATTTGCTCGCTCTCGACCGGAGGGAGGATGTGGCGGGGGAGTAGCGACAACGACCCTCATAACACGTGTTTCCCAGGTCTGGTATAAAAGTGCGCAGCGGATAAGACCAGCGGCTTGGAGCTAGCTGTGTGCAGCAGTGGCTGCTAATTTTCGCGAAAGTTCGTGCAGTAGCTATAGAAGCAGCAGCAGCAGCAGCAGCAGCGGCGGCGGCGGCAGTGGCAACTCTCGAGCAACCAAAGCCACATTACCATCTGCGCCTCAAAAGTCTGAAAACAGCACACTCGGGGGCGACACGACTGCGCTCCGTACAGTCGCTCTATGCATTCGCGCGCGCGAAAGAGAGATAGAGAGTAAGAGAGCTTGAATCTTCTCTCGCAATTGCGGTCAAGGCTTAATTAATCGACAAGCGATCGCAGTGAGAGAAGAGCTCGGACGAACGTACGAACTACTCGATTGACTTTCCCAGCGAGCTCGAATTCGCAACGATCGGTCGATCGTCGCACAATGGCCCACGCTGGTTTGCCGCGACTCTTTTCATCTCGCCCAAGCTTTTCACTCGGTATACTCACTATTGCATACAGCCCACATCCACCACTCGCAAGTGCAGTTTAGAATGCAGAGCTCGGAGCAAAGAAGCCTCGGCTGAAATTATTTAAAGTTCGGCAATAAACGAATCACAATTTAATTACTTGTCCTGCGCCGCCGCTGGAGGCAAAGTGAAGAGCTCCGAAAGCGCCGAAAGTGCGACGTCGACGAGGCAGCGGCGGTCCATTAATCACCTTTCGGACGGCTATATGCGCGCGCGACTATAACTTATTAGCGTAGAATAGATGTTGAGTGCGGCTTACACACACACATACGCAGAAAGCCCACACAGATGTACGTGAACGCTCATCCAGCGTGTGTCAAAGAAATTAGTGTGAGAGCACGACTTTCGCCGCGAAGCAAACTACGACGACGACGGCGCGGCTACGCACACGGCTGCCATGTGATTCGCGGCGAGAACGGAGGCATTAAATCCCGCAGCTATTAAACAGAGATTTGTCCCACCCCCCTTATTTCCCAACGTCCAAAGGAAAAATATACGAGAGCGGAATATCCTATGTGCTAGCTCTGTGTGCGTTTGGGTGTGTATGTGTGTGTGTGTGTGTGTGTGTGTGTGTGTGTGTGTGTGTGCAGCAGCATTCAACTGCAGCGGCAGCATAGCTCGAGCGCGTCCTATCTCATTCGAGGCGGCAAAAGTGTTTTTAACGACTTTTATCGTGGTAATTTCTTCTCTCGGCTTATTTGTGTTTAGAGCGGCTGCCGCTGCTGCTGCAGAGCGAGGGAAAAGTTGTTTTATCTCTCTAAAGCCGCGGCTTATATATATATGAGTCAAGACTCGGCAGCCGAAATTGCTTATCGATACTGCATTTTAGTTTTGAGTAGTTTTACTAGACGTATACACTTAGATCAATGAAGGATGCTCGAGTCGGAGCAGTAGCAGCCAAGCGAGCTTCATGCGCAGGCATCAAACTAATACTCGCTATAATCTTCGGATATGCGCCGTGCCGCTCTTGGGCCATTATCATTTTGCTCACGTCTCTGCGTATGGATGTATATAATATTATATCGAGCGCTCGAGTCGCTGGGGACTCCATACATGTATATAGTGAACTGCGTGAGTCTTTCTGCACCGAGGATAGATTGGTGAACTGGACCTTTGACGAGGTATCGTTACTTCCAGCGCATACATTCGTATTAATGCTGAATCTTACTCAATCATCTGTCAGCAACAGCAGATTGAGCAACAACGTCTCGACCAACAACGTCTCGAGCAGCAGCATCTCGAACAACAGCGAGCATTGGATAACGCAGCAGGAGGAGTATAAGCTGCAGGAGGTCTAGTAGCGCCTCAACAACAGCAACATTTTCTGCAGTACAACCTTGGTGTCGCCGGCTTTGGTGCTCCTCAAGTCCATTGTGTTTCTGTTCGTCTACCGACTTTTTGGTTAGATAAACCTACTGTGTGGTTCGCACAAGCTGAAGCTCAGTTTGTCCTCGCCGGCATCACCACCGAACTTACTAAGAAAACCATTCACGAAGGCTTTTGTAGATATTTGAGGGTGATTTTTTAATAAACCAAGTGAATACGGGAAACATGAGTTAAAAGGAAGAAGTTATAAAAAAATATTCAAATTAATTAAAGAAAAATGATTTGAAAAAATTTTTTATTCATCTTAACAACACATAGGTACATATAATTGACTAGATAACTTTTCTACCAGCCATCCGAAAAAAAAATTAACGCGCACGTCTCCTTCATCCTCGTGGTAACGCGAGCGCACCGAACTTGAATTAAAAAACGTGAGTCTTTGATAAACATTTACCGAAGAAACGCTGGCTTGACTGACCTGCGATCACTGGTCCGCAACAATCCTAGTATTCCTAATATCCTGATTATAAGATTGAAACACATTTTTTAAGAGAAAAAAAAGTGAGCATGTGTGTACGTATTACTTTGAAAACGTTTGGTAGGCTCTATTATATATCAATGGAGTTATACGCTGCTACCGCAAGCAATTATAGCTTGAATTAACAAAAAAAAAACCAAATGTGCTATAAATTACGTAAACATATATACGTTTAATACATCGCTTGCTATATCTGCTAGAAGTAAACACTTTGTTCGTGCGCGATCATTAAAACGATCCTCGAGTGCGTATACGCATAAATCCAGTCTCTTATCCACCCAAGGGAAATCAAGATTTCCTCTTAAAGACGCATAGTCACTGCAAAGTCCCGAGCAGTTCTTGGTCACACTGTAGCGCACACATACACACACCCACCCACTTAGTTTTGCTCGAGCGCTACTTTGCCCCGGATATTTTTTACGGATCAGAGACAATATCCTGTGGACAAAGTCCTCTGGCATCGTTTTTGCCGACCCGCCTAGAAATTCACTTTTGTCAAAGTAGAAAAAAAAGCTCGATATCGCGGTGCAACGATCAAGTTTTCGGGCGTCTAGTGAATAGTATACAATTCAGTGTATATACTTGGTGATCCTCGCAATCAATCGGCGCAAAATAATCGTGGCTTCTCGAGCAGAACATTTGCGTTAGACAAGAATATGCACGTCTTTCGACAACGCGGCGAGACTATGCGCATACAAAGCCCACAAATGTTACGTAAGCCATGCACACGCACACGCACACCTGTACACTCTCGTGTACGTTGCTCTACACCTTCCACAAGCACACGGCGGGCACTCGTACCCGCACACGCAGCTACTCGTATCGGTGCTAGCAAGTTCTCTGATGCAATTACACAGAAGCTCTCGCAAGCTCGTGCACGTGAACACATAGAGCGAACAGTTCGAGCGCGTTGCAACTATTTCAAATATCGCAGCTTCTTGTGCAGCTTTGCTGCGTTGAGTACTTTGATGTATGTATGGGGCTATCGAGTGCGGGAGTGTGCTACGTACTAGCGATCTGTACCACTAACTTAGAGCTTTGGCCTCGCACTTTCCTTGCGGCTGCTGCCGCGTTACATTGGGTTAGCACGCGTTCAAATCCGTCCTAGAGAGGACATATATCCGAAGGTGTTTGATGTAGTGTAACAGCATCCCTTCGAACCAAAGCCTATTGCAATTGTATCGTTTCTAGCTTTACTGGAGTGTACCACACCGTTTACGCTCGAATTTTTCCCTCGCACGTGCGCGTAAAGCTTTGATGATCCTATTTCGCAAGTATAGGCCTGAAGAAGAGTACCACGCGCGCGCGCGCGCGTTCATAAATATAAAGTGCACAGCTCCTCTACTACGTGCTGCGTCTAAATAAGTACGCGTGTAATCCAGTCTCAAAGTAAAAAACGAACGCATTACAGTGCACACTCGTACTTATACGTTATATAATTTAAGTAGCTTCAAACTTTAATTTCTCTTTTTTGAAATTTCAATTTAGTCAGCAGTAGAGCAATAGCTGGTGCAGCATCAACTGCCGTAGCGGCAGCACTAGTAGTAGTAGCAACATCATATAAGAGAGAAAAAGAGAGAGAGAGAGCGGAAGAGCTGTGAGTAAAAGTAGCCGAGGAGAATTTCGTCGTGTATTCGCGCCTGTGTTTATATACACATATATATTCGGTATGAGCTGCGCAGCAGCATCACCAGTGGAAGAGAAAGAGAGAGAGAGAGATTTAGCGAGCTAACATATAGGAATTCTAATGAATTTTCCAGGCGGCCGGAAATTAAAGTATACGAGTCCTGTGGCTCGTAAGCCTTTAATTATATGCATCCGCGGATACGTTGCCTACCCACACACTTATACACTAACACATATAGAGACTCATACGTGCGCAAGCGCACGTAGATACGTATATAACGCTCATTTATTATACGCTTCTTGCAGTTATGTGTCTATATGCTGCCTAGAGGGAAAGAGAAAGAGAGAGGGAACTGCAGAGGAGGCCATCACCAGCAAAGCGTCCCGAGCCACACAAACACACTCGTGTGCACATGTCCTGGAATATTTAACAGCCTGTTAGAGGCCGATTTCTGCTCTCTGCGCCGTATACGTACCACCGCACAGCCTGCATTTTCCTGATTAAATAATATTCGACTCTCCAATAGATGTTTATTGGCGCGAAGCTTAAACTACAGCTGCGCCTCGTCGCGGTCAGGGGGTCGACTATATGTATACCCTATATGTGCAATGCGATCGGGGCTGGTCTCCCGGCTTCATTTCGAATTCGGTCACGTATTCAAGCTGTTCAG